TATGGCTGCATAGTGTTCCATGGTTTAAATATATCACTTTTATTCTGTACCACACTGATAAGCATTTAAAGTGTTACCCTGTCCACCCTATTACAAATACTAAAATGAACACCAAATATGGCTACTTGCACTGATTTGCAAGTATTTCTCAAGGCCAGAGGTTCTCAAACTTTTTTTTTTTTGAGACATAGTTTCACTCAGTCACCCTGGGGTTGAGTGCCATGGCATCATAGGTCACAGCAACCTCAAACTCTTGGGCTCCAGCGATTCTCTTGTCTCAGCCTCTCAAGTAGCTGGGATTACAGGCGGCTGTCACAATGCCAGGCTATTTTTAGAGGTGGGTTCTCACTCTAGCTCAGGCTGGTCTCGAATTCATGAGCCCAGGCGCTGGCCTCAGCCTCTGGGATTATAGGCGTGAGACACAGTGCCCAGCCCCAACTGGCTTTTATTGGTGATTCTAGAATTGGGTGACACCTTACTCTATAAAATGGAATGAGTGTTCCAAAGAACTGAGCAGAGAAATTTCACTTTAGAGGGAGAAAAAAGGCTGCAGAAGACAGAAACAGAATATAAACAGTGGATCAACCATTTGAAAGTTACCTTCCTTCTAGGGTTAAAAAAAGTAGCACCTTTATATGCTGACTTTCTTTCTCAATTACAATAGGAGAAATAAGAACACAAAATTATACATGTTCACAATATGCAAACTAAACCTACAAACAGTATACTTAGAAAGAGACTGAAAGGAAACATACTATCATTGTAGGTACAATTTAGAAATAGTCTTTTTTTAATTTATGCCTCTAAGTGTATGTACTTTCTTCTAATTTTCTATACAGTATTTTCAAACTTTTAAATAAAATGATGGAATTTCATATTCCATGAAGAGTCAGTGCCAAGCTAACACATAAAACAAAATCTATGTATTCAATATTACCCTGAACATCTCTTAATCTAGGCTGTCTCTCAGAAAATCCAATAATGATTTAAGAAACGTTTGGAGTAATTTTGCAACCCTACTTGTTTTTCCTCTCCTGTTGGGATTGTTGCTCTTTCTTCAGTAGTACTAGATGGAGCAACAGAAAAGCAATTGGGTAGCACAAAAAAAATCTACATTGCATCTCTTCTTGGAATCTAGTGAGATCTAGTGAAATGATTGTATCAGAAGCGCTAAGGAACTGGGATCAACTGAAGAAAAAGCAGGTGTACACGGTTCATCTCACCGAGGGTTCATTGAGTGGAATGCTCGGCAGAATCATGCACCATTTAGACTGTTGCTGTCTGCATCTCTTATTTTTATAGGACTGAGCTCATACGTTAATAGTTGGCATTAATGTACACGGCTATGATTTAATAAAAAAAATAGTTGAATTGTATTAACTTACTTTTGTACATGATGAGACTCCATTGAACACAGTACTTTTATGATAGGAAAAAGCCACCTTTTTCAAAGAGACAACTATTCTGGAATACATAAATATATAAATACCTTCTGTTTTCATCATTACTCAGTCTTTCAACAAATACTGTGTCTGCTATTTCCAGCACTAGGCTACACAACGAAGGAGATAGAAGAAGTAATAAAACAGGCCCGGGGAGGTGGCTCACACCTGTAATCCTAGCACTCCGGGAGGCTGAGGCAGGTGGATTGCCTGAGCTCACAGGTTTAAGACCAGCCTGAGCAAGAGGCTGGGCGTAACTACAAATAGGCACCTACAATTCCAGCTACTCTGGAGGCCGAGGCAAGAGAATTGCTTGAGACCAGGAGTTTGAGATTGCTGTGAGCTATGACACCATAGCACTCTACCCAGGGAGACACAGTGAGACTCTGTCTCAAAAAAAAAAAAAAATCAGCCCCTTGTCCAGTGTCTCTGCACTGCAGATGCTACCTGCCCATTAGTCACTGAGTAGCCGTGTCGGTTATCAGATCAACTGTCGCAGCATCACACTGCTTGTGTTCAAGTAATCCTTATTTTACTTAATAATGCCCCAAAGCTCAAGAGTAGTGATGTTGGCAACTTGGTTTTATGCCCATGAGAAGCCATAAAGTGCTTCCTTTAAGTGAACAGGTGAAAGTTCTCAACGTAATGAGGAAAGGGGGAAAAAAAAGAACGCTGAGGTTGTTAAGATCTATGGTAAGAACTAATCTTTTATCTGTGAAATTGTGAACAATACATTGTTAAAACTGTTCTATTTCATTATTAGCTATGTTATTAATCTCTTACTGTATTTAACTTGCTAATTAAACTTTATCATTGGCATATGTAGAAAAGACAGGGTTTGGTACCATCCAAAGTTTCAGGCTTCCACTGTGGGTCATGAAACATCCCCTAAGAATAAGGGAGAACGATTAATACACTATCCACGGAAGAGCTGCTTCACAGCAGTGATGAGTATAGTAGCCAGGCTGGAATGGGTTAGAAAGCAAGTAGGAAGAAAGAAAACAGAGGTCATTTTGGTTCCACCACACATACACACACACACACACACACACACCTACCTGTAGGAAATGTGCCTATATTGGTCTAAAAGAAAGAAGATTTAGATTCTAATCAAATCAGAAATATCAACTAAAGTGGAGCTCCACTTGGGATGAAAGCTCATCTCAACTCAATGTGCCATTTTACCTACTTCTCAGAGCACAAAAGGATGGAACTAGCTCTGAAAAACAAAGTAGTTTTAAAACAGAAACTCAAAGTAAGAAAGACAACAATTCGTTTAAGTCACAATAGTTAGTTGTTACCACAGCCATTCTGTCCAGAAAATAGCAATTCTAAAAAGAAATTGTTACAAAAATTGCTACAAAAAAGTCACTTGGGATACAACCACATCTCAGAGTTTACCTTACAAATACAAGCAATGTAACCTATTATAGGTACCAATGTATCAATCTGCAGTTTTTAAAAAAAGGTCACCAGGAGAAACTGAAACAAGAATGTCACTCTGTTCCACAGCACAAAATGACAAGTTATTAAAGACTATTTTATCAAAAGAAGAAAAAAAATGTCACTCTGCCGGGCTTTTTTTTTTTTTTTTTTTTTGAGACAGAGTCTCACTTTGTCACACCCCGTAGAGCGCTCTGGCATCATAGTTCACAGCAACCTCAGACTCTTGGGCTGAAGCAATTCTCTTGCCTCAGCCTCCCAAGTAGCTGGGACTAGAGGTGCCCACCCTAATGCCTGGCTATTTTTAGAGACAGAGTCTTGCTCTGGCTGAGGCTGGTCTCAAACTTCTGAGCTTAGAGCAATTCACCTGCCTTGGCCTCCCAAAGTGCTGAGATTACAGGTGTGAGCGGCCGCACCTGGCCAAGACATGAATATTTTTATATAATTCAATAAATAAACATAATTCTACGAAAATCCTGAGTTTATAACCCCAATACAAGGCCAGGAGTGGTAACTCACACCTGTAATCCCAGCACTCTGGGAAGACAAGGTAGATAGATTGCCTGAGCTCACAGGTTTGAGACCAGCCTGAGTCATAGTGAGTCTCTAAAAATAGCCAGGCATTGTGGCTGGGGCCTATAATCCCTACTTAGAGGGCTGAGGCAAGAGAATCACTTAAGCCCTAAAGTTTGAGGTTGTTGTAAGCTGTGACTTCAGGGCACTCTCCTCAGGGACACAAAGTGAGAGTCTGCCTCCAAAAAAAAAAGGATGAATGAATAAAAGAATGATACAGGAACTCACATCCTGTGCACAGTTTCACAGATTAAACAACTACAGTTAAAGCTATGCTTAACCAAATCTCCCTCCTCCTCTGTTCTATCCTCAGGAACTTCTTTCCAAGGCCTTTATCCAGTGATCACCATCAGTTTTCCAGCCCTCCCCCCCCCCAAAAAAAAACACATAAGCATTCTTTTATTTGATAGATCGCCTAGGCTCTCTGCTGGCAAAAAGAATCTTTAAATTAGAAAGCGTTTGGGGTAGGAGAGAAGGCCTTGAAGATTCCAAGTTTGCACAAACACTGTCACTCTTGGAAAAATGCCCTGGGGTAGTTTGCAGGCAAGAAAACTTTGGCCAAATACCAATTTCTCCTCTCCAAAGTCCATCAAAGGATTGTTCAAAAAAAAAGGTAGACTACTATTTCCAATAGATTCTCTACAGATTCAAGGACAGTTATGTCTTTGGGCGTCATGCTCAATTTCTTTCTTTCTTTTTTTTTTTGAGACAGAGCCTCAAGCTGTCGCCCTGGGTAGACTGCCATGGGGTCACAGCTCACAGCAACCTACAACTCCTGGGCTTAAGCGATTCTCTTGCCTCAGCCTCCCAAGAAGCTGGGACTACAAGCGCCTGCCACAACGCCTGGCTATTTTTTGGTTGTAGTTGTCATTGTTGTTTGGCATACCCGGGCTGGATTCCAACCCACCATATCTGGTGTATGTGGCTGGAGCTACAGACGCCGAGCCGTCATGTTTAAAGACTGTGGGGTTTCTCATTAGAAAAATGTTGAATCCTACTCTCAGAAATTTAGAGGCAGAGCATACATGTATTACAATCCTACATTAAGAATCCCTGGGCAGGCTCTGTGGTTCAGGCCCATAATCCTGGCATTCTGGAAAGGCCAGGAGAGAGGACTGCTTAAGGCCAGGCAGGAGTGGAAAACCAGCAATAGAAAGACCGCCATCTCTATTTTAAAAATAGAAAAATTAGGTGTAGTTGGAGGCGCCTGTGGTCACAACTACTCCGGAGGTTGAGGCAGCAGTTCGAGGTTGCAGCGAGCTATGATGCCACTGCACTACTCTAGCCCGAGCGACAGAGACTCTGCCTCCAAGAAAAAAATCCCTAACGCAGAGGGCAATACTGTCCAGATATGTTTAATCACGCAAATTGTGGGGCTTTTATGCCCTGTCATTGTTAACTTACAGAACACTGAAACCTGCCGTATCAGTGGTGGCCCCTAGGTGACGCTGCAGGGACAGCTAAGAGAGCTGCGGGCTTTGGACGGATGGGGGCGGAAGATTCGGTGCGTTTCCCTGCGATGGGAGGAGCCCAAAGGAGGCCACGAAAGGCGAGCGTTCCTCTGTGCGCAGGCGCAGGCGCAGGGCTGGGCACTCCCCCGGGAGAGAGGGCTGCTGGGGCCGGTGACGTGGCCTGGCATGGTCCCTGCTGGTGTGCCTCCCAGGAACCCCGCGCCGCCGGAACTGCCCAAGGCCTAGTCCCGACGTGCGTGTGTGAGCCGGAACTAGGGACAGCTACGGCGGCGGCCCGGCTCGCGGGGACCCGACGGGGCCGCTGCCATGGGGGAGTGACTCCCCCTGCGCCCGCTGGTCCGCGGCAGCGGCGAGACATGAGGAGACCCCGCGGCAGGGGCAGCGGCGGCGGCTCTTGAGCCCCGGCATGGAGGAGAAATACGGCGGGGACGTGCTGGCCGGCCCCGGCGGCGGCAGTGGAGGCGGCCTCGGGCCGGTGGACGTTCCCAGCGCTCGGTAAGGGACCGATACGGGCTCGCCTGTCGCTCACGTGAGGACCAGGACGGCAGCTGCCAGCTCAGCTGCTCCGGACACACCTTACCAGGCTTCCCTCCCTCTCCGCTGACAGCCCGGAAGGTCCTGGGGTCGCCTCGCGCCCGGGAGCCCTCGGTCCTCTCCCGAGGCTTCCCTGCTTGCAGGCTGCCTCTAGGTTCCCCGGGCTCCTCTGGGGCCGGCTGCAGAATGAGCGCTCTGAAACCCAGGAAGCTTCTGCCGGAGTTTCTGGCTTTTAGGGTAGACCACCAACCTTAGAACTGCCCGCCGGTTCACGTGAGATGTTTTGCTGATCCACGAGAAACGTGTCTCTTGGCAGTTTCTCCCTGAATTAGGAGTTCAGTGACTACTTAACCATTCTGACGTCTCCCTATGTGAATTAGGGGAAGGTGTCACCAGTGAACTCGGAATGTTCCGGTTAACCCAGCACCTGAGGAATCCAGCCCCATTCCTTTTTTGGTTTATTTTATTGTATTGAGAAATGTGTGCTTGTCAAAAATTCAAACAGTACAAAAATTCCCCTTTACTCTCCGCAGTCTTCCCACCAACCCCAAGAGGGACCGAGTGGTTCAGTGACCGCGTTTGAGTATATACTTCCTGACCTAAGTTCTCAGGTGGTGTCAAAGATGAATAAAGTATGGCCCACCAAGTTGGTTGGAGCTGGTATTTATTGCCTTAATTTTTAATGAGGTTCAGTTTTTCTTGTTCTAGAATATTTTCTTTTGGGTTTAAAGAGTGATAAATTCTTTAGAACTGTAGTAATAACATTACTAACAACCATTTTTAAATGAAAATATCCTAGAACAGAACTTCAACTGCGTTGCAGCATGAATTTTTAATTTTCCAATCTATTTTGAGTATCTCATTTTGTAAATAACAGCATATCAGATGTTAATTATGAAGACATGACAACTAAATGTAATAGACGATTCTAGTCTGGATTTGGTGGTAGAAGGAAAAAAACACTTTAAAGGACTTTACTAGGTCAATTGATAAAATTGGACTATGGACAGTAAGATAAAAGTATTACATCAGTTTTAAATTTCCTGAAGTTGATAACTCTGCTGGTTGTTTTGGGTTTTTGTTTTGTCTTTTTTTTTTTTTTTTTTTGAGACAGAGTTTCACTTTTGTCACCCTTGGTAGCAACCTCAAACTCTTGGGCTCAAGCAATTCTCTTGCCTCAGCCTCCCAAGTAGCTGGGACTACAAGCACCTGCCATAATGCCCAGCTATTTTTAGAGATGAGGTCTTGTTCTGGCTCGGGGTGGTCTTGAACCTATGAGCTTAGGCAATCCACCTGTCTTGGCCTCTCAAGTGCTGGGATTACAGGCATGAGCCACCATGTCTGGCAACTCTGCTGGTTTTATAAGAAAATGCCCATGCTCTTAAGAAATACAACTACCGTGTTTCCCCCAAAATAAGACACTGTCTTATATTTATTTCTCCTCAAGAAGACACACTAGGCCTTATTTTCAGGGCATGTCTTCTCTGCACTAAAATGCCTGGCATGGCTATACGCTGCATAGCCATGCCCATCACTAGGTCTTATTATTGGGGTAGGGCTTATATTTAACAAATGCATAGAAATCCTGCTAGGGCTTATTTTTTGGGTAGGTCTTATTTTCGGGGAAACAAGGTATTTAGGCTCAGCGCCTATGGCTTAAGCAGCTAAGATGCCAGCCACATACAACTGAGCTGGTAGGTTTGAATCCAGCCCAGGCCTGCCAAACAATAATGATGGCTACAACCAAAAGATAGCTGGGTACTGTAGCATGTGCCTGTAGTCCCAGCTACTTGGGAGGTGGAGGCAGAAGAATCGCTTGACCAGGAGTTGGAGGTTGCTGTGAGCTGTGCTGCCATGGCACTCTACCCAGGGCAACAGCTTGAGGCTTTGTCTGAAAAAAAAAAAAAAACAAATATTTAAATAATAATAATAATAAATACAACTGTTTCGTATAAAGGAGCATTATGTATTTTACTTACTCTCAAATAGTCCTGAGGAAAAATTGGCTCTGTATGTATTTAGAGAGAGAAAAACTAATAAACAGGAAAATACATTAGCAACTAGGGAATCTAAGTAAAGGGTATACTATTGTTACAACTTTTATGTAAACTAAAATTATTTTTTAAATAAGTAGTTTAAAACTGTTAGATAGGGAAATGTGGCATACTATCCGTTGATATCTTATTTGAATTATTTACTTGTCAGAGTTCCCTTCTTTTATAACTTTTTTTTTTTTGAGACAGAGCCTTAGGATAGAGTGCCGTGGCATCACAGCTCACAGCAACCTCCAATTCCTGGGCTTAAGCAGTTCTCTTGCCTCAGCCTCCCCAGTAGCTGGGACTACAGGCGCCCGGCTCCTTTTTGGTTATAGTTATCATTGTTGTTTGGCAGGCCCAGGCTGGATTCCAGTCCACCAGCTCTGGTGTATGTGGCTGGCACATTAGCCTCTTGAGCTACAGGCACCAAGCCAGGACTGGTTGAATTTTGATGGATTCCAGATTACAAGAGTTTTACTATATATGGACTAAAAATCAAATACTGCTTAGCTGCAACAAAAACTAATTGATAAATTCTTTAACCATGGGTATTTTTTATGCCTAAATCCATAAATATGGATTATTTTAAATAATGGTTTCTATTTTGGCTTAAATCCTCTTTGCAGGAAAGGGCAGAGGGCAACAGCCAGCATTTGAGCACCTCTTATGTTCTAAGTACTTTAATACATCATCTCATTTAATTCCTTTTTTTTTTTTTTGCCATGTTTGGCCAGGGCTGGGTTTGAACCTGCCACCTCCAGCACATGGGACTGGCGCCCTACCCTTTTTAGCCACAGACACTGCCCAGATCTCATTTAATTCTTAGAACAGTCCCACAAACTAAGTAGTGGTATCCTTGTTTCACAGATCAAGAAACTGAGTAGAAGACAACTTAAGTAATTTGCCCAAAGTCACATAACTAATAAATGAGCTCGGAGTCCTCATTATTTCAGACCCCATGTATAGTGCCTTCTACAAAGTAGATACATGAATATTTATTGAATGAATTGAACTTGAATTACACACTGATTTTATTTATTTATTTATTTATTTATTTTGAGACAGAGCCTCAAGCTATCCCCCTGGGTAGAGTGCTGTGGCTTCACAGCTCACAGCAACCTCCAACTCCTGGGCTCAAGCAAGTCTTCTGCCTCAGCCTCCCAAGTAGCTGGGACCAAAGGCGCCCGCCACAATGCCCAGCTATTTTTCAGTTGCAGCCATCATTATCGTTTGGTGGGTCCGGGCTGGATTCGAACCCGCCACCTTAGGTATATGTGGCTGGCACCTTAGCCACTTGAGCCACAGGCGCCGAGTCTGATTTTATTTTTTAACCAGAGAACTGTGAACTGCTGCATATGAACTGCTACAGTGGGCAAAGCCCAAGAAGCAGGTTTGAGCCCAAATCCAAATATCAATAATTCTAGGCTTAGAGAATCAGAGAATATAAGCCTTCACAGAAAAGGCCAGTGATAACCTTTGATGAGACTGGTTAATGGCAAGTAATAATTTATAAGTTGGGGAGGTGGATTGGATCCCCCCTGTGTTGTCCAGGGGAGTGGCTCAGGGTTTACTCCCCTTGTTTAAGAGCCTCCCCTTTGGCTCGGCGCCTGTGGCTCAAGTGGCTAAGGCACCAGCCACATACACCTAAGGTGGCGGGTTCTAATCCAGCCCAGGCCCGCCAAAAACAACAATGATGGCTGTAACCAAAAAATAGGCAGGTGTTGTGGTGGGCGCCTGTGGTCCCAGCTACTTGGGAGGCTGAGGCAGGAGACTCGCTTGAGCCCAGGAGTTGGAGGTTGCTATGAGCTGTGATGCCACAGCACTCTCCCCAGGGGGACAGCTTGAGGCTCTGTCTCAAAAAAAAAAGCCTCCCTTTGCTCTTCTCTCCTTCCACTGATACCCCTTAGTAAATGAAGCTATTGATTGTTTGCCCGTCAACATATAGCCTGGTTTTTCATCTTTAGCCAACAGGAAAACTTCATTAATTGGAACTTTAAAAATCAACATTTTTTGTTTTTTGTTTTTTGTTTTTGAGACAGGGTCTTACCATGTTGCCCTTGGTAGAGTGTGGTAGCATCACTTCTCACAGCAACCTCAATCTCCTAGGCTCAAGGGATTCTCTTGTCTCAGCCTCCTGAGTAGCTGGGACTACAGGCACTTGACACCACGCTGAGCTGTTTCTAGAGATGGGGGTTCTTGCTTTTGCACAGGCTGGTCTCGAACTTCAGAGCTCAAGCAGTCCACCTGTCTTGGCCTACCAGAATGTTAGAATTACAGGTGTGAGCCACTACACCCACCCCTAAAAATCAACTTTTAACTAAAGTGTTAAAATAATGTTCTTTCTTTTTTTAAGAGACAGAGTCTAACTTTGTTGTCCTCGGTAGAGTGCCGTGGTGTCACCACAGCTCACAGCAACCTCCAATTCCTGGGCTTAGGCAATTCTCTTGCCTCAGCCTACCGAGTAGCTGGGACTACAGGTACCCGCCACAATGCCCAGCTATTTTTTTGTTGCAGTTTAGCCAGGGCCAGGTTTGAACCTGCCACCCTCAGTATATGGGGCCAGCACCCTGCCCACTGAGCCACAGGCGCCACCCATGTTCTTAATCTAATAATGGTAGCAGAAGCACAATGATGACTTAAATTTTTGCTGTTTACCCAGCTGAGGGTATCTTTGAAGAAACAATTTTAAGACTGAGATTAAAAAAAAAAGAATGTAGCAGAAGATCTTCTATACATATTAGGTGAAAATTCACATAGCAGTATCAAAATATGTGAATGTGTAATATACAGTAGAATTTCCATAGTTGACCACCTCTCTATGTTGATCAGCTTCTGAAGTGGAGACTAGACATTTACTACATGAACATCAGTACAGTAGCCCTAGCTCCTTATGTTGACCACCTCCATATGTTGACCAGTTTGTTACAGTCCCTTGGGTGGTCAGCTTTCAGAGAGGTTCTACTGTATATGTATACATACACGGAGATGCAAAAGAAAAGGTTTAGAAGAATGTTATCAATACCAGTGAAGAAGTAGAGATGATTTTATTTAAAACTTACAACAGCCAGCTATTCCGGAATTACTTTTGTAACCTATGGCTTTTTTCTTTTTAATTTAAAAGAGGAGTAAAGAAAATGAATCTCATAAAGATTATAATACTAATATACTATCAAGAAGTACTTTGTAGGCCAGGCACAGTGGCTCATGCTTGTAATCCTAGCACTCTGGGAGGCCGAGGCCAGTAGATTGCCTGAGCTCAGAGGTTCGAGACCAGCCTGAGCCAGAGACCTCATCTTTAAAAATAGCTGGGCGTTGTGGCGGGTGCCTACTTGGAAGGCTGAGGCAAGAGAATCACTTGAGCCCAGGAGTCTGAGGTTGCTGTGAGCTATGATGACACGGTACTCTACAGAAGGTGAGAAAGTGAGACTCTGTCTCAAAAAAAAAAAAATGGAATTTTTAGACTGCTGTGATTTTAATGTAACTCTCATTTTCTAGTCTTTGGGTTTTGGGGTTTTTTCCTTCTTACCTGGTTTACAGTGTTGTTCTTTGTGTTCTTTCTGCTTTTCTGCTGCCTTATTTTTAACATCTAGTTAAGAGATCAAGGAGCAGAACTGGGCACAAGCTATCCTCCCTCCTTAGCCTTCCTAGTAACAGTAACTGGGACTACAGGGCACCACACCTGGCTATACTTTAAGTCATTATGACTTTTTTCTCTAGCTTACGGAGGCCGAAGTCCACATTAATCTTAGGTTTGAACATGTATTTTGTCTTTCATATTTAGAGGTTATTTTACTGTGGGCCATTATGAATATATAATTGGGAACATTTGAGAAAATGGGAACTTTAAAAAGCCCTTTTGAGTGAACTTTTTCTTCCTGGTATGTTAGAAAGAGCATACTTAAGAAACAGGGGTTTGTCTCTACCTAGTTCTCTGGGTTTCAACTTTCTATGGTACAACATGAGAGAAATTAGGCTACACAGTATCTATACAATGTTTTTTACCTCTCACTTGTTAGTGTTTATTTTTTTCTACTATATATACATTTACTTTCATACCTATATAATTAATTGCTCCAGATATGGTAAGTCTCCCAGAAGGGTTCTCTGCTGGAGAAGCCTGGCTGTTGGGGTGTTGGAATTAAATGAAAGAAGCAGGGGCTGGGGGTGGGGGAGGAGGATTAAGAAGGGAACTTACTTTTACTCTCCCTGGGTTTTTTTGTTTGTTTGTTTTTGTTTTTGAGACAGAATCTCACTGTGTCACCCTTGGTAGAGTGCTATGGAGTCCATGGCCTACAGCAACCTCAAACTCCTGGACTTAAGCAATTCTCTTGCCTCAGCCTCCCAAGTAGCTGGGACTATAGGTGCCCGCCACAACGTCTGGCTATTATTAGAGACGAGGTGTCACTCTGGCTCAAGCTGATCTCAAATCTATGAGCTCAGGCAGTCCACTCACTTAGGCCTCCTAGAGTGCTAGATGTGGTGGTTTTTTCTTGATCTCTACATTTTTTTTTTTTTTTTTTTTTTTTTT